GGACAAAACGGTATTAGCTATAAACGAGTCTGTTTCGCAATGAATAATATGATGTATATAAATGAACAAGAAAATAATATCATGAAATATGGAAAAATGTCACAATATGCGAAATATAACAAAAAACAATGTATGTTGTTCCAACAACGAACAGATTCACCGTTTACGAATGAGTGTACCAGATCATATGGGGCTTGTCACTAAACATGTCACAAGTATCCAGAGTTCGATAGCCCATTTACACGTAATGTTTTTATAATCGAAGTATGATAATTAAGTCAAATCAGAAGTCAGGAATGGAGTTTGAAGATAACTTTGGAAAGCTATCGGTATGTCGAGGAAACTTTTGGTCTAAGCTGTCAATTACCTGAAAGGGTTGAGTAGCACAGCGTACACACACGTAATCTATTAAGGACGTGTGACCAAGCGCTATCAAATAGGTGTGTTCAGTAAAACTTATCAGATCAGTATCTAAAGTCGAAGGCCTATAGTGCTAATGTTTTTGAAGATTCGTTCACAGAAACAGGTGCAATAATCAGTTAGTTTTGAAAACAATGTGAGAAAACTGAATCGTAAAAATAGATGGAACAATAAATTAAAAGTTGTCTCAAGAGGAACAATAGTGATTTTCTGGAAGTATCTTCATGCTAGAGTGTTTTGAAGAACTTAATATGTTGTATGCTATCAGCGAATCACCTCTTATTCTCCCATAGGTCAGTGGTAATAATCCTATGTGCTGTCTTCGTTAAATTAATTTTCCAAACCTGTCACACATTTAGTTCCTCGTCCTTAAACTTGTTATTGCGGATTTGCATTTCCTCTTAAGAAAGAAGGCAAAAAAACACTGCGAAATTTGAGGTAAAGCCACGCTTATGTTTAATGGGAGTAAAAAATAATTCTAGAGTGACTACAACAGGATGTCGTCGAATAAAGTGTAGAGTTGTGCTTGTCTTGACTGCGTCTCTTGTGTAGTCTGAGCTGGCTCATAATCTATCTGTGATTACTAGCCCAAAATAACACTTTGATGAGACAGTCAGAAGCGAGTTTTTCGGGAGGATGTAAGTCGTTTGTGTCAAACGGAGCGGCATGTTTATGACACAAAATTTCGAAAGGTTAAGTTTTAAATACTTATTTAGTATCCACCCTACTATTGATGTAAGGTCCACTTCAAACCCAAGTGAATCGTTCCCGCTTTTCAAGGACCTCCAGATCTTTGCGCTATCTGAATAGACTAGTGCTGCTTAATTAATTTCATCTAGAAGATCGGGAAGTTAAGTGAGACTTTTATTTCACTCTGTGAGAATTATGAAGTTAAGAAGCACTTGCTTGCATGCATTTTACTTACTTTGTTCTTTAAGTAGTTTCGGAACGAAGATAGAAGTAGTCTGGTGGATCCCTCCTTTGCAAGTTTCCCTATGAAAACTACACTCCCACTCTGTCGAATGGTTTTGTTAGGCCAAGGAATATTGCGTAGACCGGTATCTCACGGTCATTACTGGTTGTTTAACTATCTCGTGCTATGAGGAGTTCCGACTTGCAGGATTTATCTTTTCTGAATTTATCTATATATTACCTAATTTATCTACTGACCAGTTCTTCCATTACCTTCAAATTTATTGATAGTAATGTTATTTGTATGTTACGGAGTCGACCTTTTTAAACTACACTGATGAAGTGTTAAGATACAGTTTTCTGTCTCTGTTCTACTGGTATTGGATGTGACATTAGTGAGCACTTACACCAGCTATATGCCAGATTCTGTACACTGTCATATGATTATAGGGTGATTATTGGCTTTGTGTGAGCAAGGATTTTGGTTTTCTTGAGTTAACCCGGAAGTTAACCGAATATCATTATGGCCATCAGCCGCCACTGTGGTCAAGGAGTGTTCGGCACTTGTAGACTGTTGTGTAAGACGATCAGCGAAGGTGTCATTAGAGATTTATTTCTTCTCTAGGTTGACAAGGACTTCTTTAATAAGCCGTTTTGAGCATCAGTATTCTGGTATGTAAGTTTTGGTTTGGTCATGAACATACAGAGGTTAGGTTGACCTGAAATTACTGTCTGTTGCATAGCACGAGAACATTCTGTTCCTTTCCTGAAGGTGGGTGGGCGCTAAGTTCAGAATCCTTCAAAGGAACTTCCCCCGTACCCGGGCTCTCATTTCAGCCTACACCAAATCTTCTGTGCCTTCACAATTGATTGATCACTGGGTGGTGATCAATGTCATGCTTTTCTAGTACTTATTAGTGCAGATCGAATGCTATCGATCATGCTGCAATGTGGCCACCAGTCTAGGTGACTCGACACTGCATGCACTATGTATTGAAATTTGGATGGTGGTTGGAGGTAGTCAACAGGGTTTCCTGTTGACTACCTCCAACCACCATCTAGTTCTGTGCCTTGCCCAAAGTGATTAGTCAAGCAGATCACCTAGACTGATCCCATCGAATTTGGAGATTAGCATTTACTAAGGATAAAGGAGTACTTTTGTCCTGTGGCATCATTGTTTCAATAAAGGTTACTTCTGCATTGATAATCCGTCTGCTATGGTGAACAGATAAACAGCAGTCCTTAATCCTAAGGGAAAAACTGATATCGTAAATCGCGTTTGATAGGTTCATTATGTCTCATCAATAAGTTCAAGGAGACGGGTATCAAGTCACTGTAAATAGATTGTGTTACTTCATATCTAGATAATCGACATCTTAAGATCAAGATAAACGTCACTGTTGCTTGAGCTAAAAAAGAGTTTGATGAGATCACTCAGGGTATAGAATTAGGATGTTTACTCATTTTAATTTATACAAATAACGTTTTCAAGAAAGTAGTTTCCTAGCTATTACTTTTTGCTGACGATGTGAAACTGTGGAAATAGCTTTACGACCAAACCTACAGGTTGACACCGCAGGATTATCTGACATAACTTCAAATTTGGGCAGGAAACACTTCAAATTGTACAATAGTCCTTCTGAGACATGTAGACTATGTATACAACTTGGAAAATTATCTTTTCAAAGTATTCCAAGTTGAAAAGATCTAGGAGTGTTGGAGCCGTATGACTTAAATCTTGCGCTAGTTGTGACAAAATGCCTTGTGAGCGAGCGTTACTCTGGTAACACTGAACCTCACAATTCGTTCAACGTTTAACAGTTTCATTCGACCGCAGTTGAGGTATGAAAATACAATTTTTATACCTTCACAAAAAAATACGAATACATCACGATTTGTCCAACGGCAAGTCACAAAATCAGTTTCGGGTGACCTGTCTATGCACATAAGGCTCATGCAGATCAACAAGACGGGAAAACTCACGCCTCCCCCAGAGTTCAGTACCAGGACCTCTTCGTTTCTTGATTTATATGGACGATCTTCCATGACAGGTATTGCCAGATTTATTATTCTTCGCTGATGATTCGAAACCCTAAAGAGAAGTACGTAACCAATAGGATAAAGTGGCAGTTCAGGAGGGTATGATTTGGCTTCAAAGTTGGGCAGATGACATTGAACTTATCCTTAACACTTCAAAGAGTAGAGGTCCACCTGAGACATGTTGCAAACGACAATTACAACCTAAGCAACTCCCCTCTCAGGGCATTCCAAGTTGAAAAAGATCTATGAATCTTAGTACCTTACCATTTGAAGTCTTACGATAACTGAGACAAATGCCTTTCGAGCAAAACTTGCACTGGTAACACTGAAGCGCTTTTTGGGTATGTTTGACGTAAGAACTTTTTATATAATCTCAAACAGTTTTATTCATACCCACTTAGAATACTGAAACATAGTATTTCCTCACTCATTCCAGGAGGATAAGGATAATCTGGAACGTATCAAACGGCGAGCCTCGAAATTAGTCCGAAAACTCAAATTCGAGCCTTATGAAGAGAATCTTCAGTCACTTAACCTTTACTCACTGGAGTACAGACGTCTCAGAGGTGACTTAAAGGCTTACAACATTCTACACACATCCGGACCTCCCTTTAAACACCTACTGATGCTTATCTCAACGAAAAAATAAAGACAAGACCCAGAAATTCAAGACGTAGCACAGCAGAACGAACTGTAGACATACCTTCTACTCTTCAAGAGTGAAATTCACTGTCTGCTGAATTAGTCCAAACGACTTCCCAGGAGTCGTTCGACAGAAAATTTGACATATACCTAAGGATAGTATCTCACTATGATTTATCAACCTAACTTTTCTTTTCCTCATTAATCAATAATACACCCAGGTTTCTACCTGGAGGTATCGGTGGTCCACTGCTACTAGATACAGAAGCCTGTTATGCAAAAGCTTCTTTTATTCCGTTTAAAAATATTTTAATCGTTTGGAATATAGACCTTATCAAGAGCGCCTCAAACCAATTAATCTTTAAGCACAAGTGTACGGTAGTATAGGAGGGCATATCATGAGTTGTAGCATTCCAATTGGTCTTAAGCACCCCATTAAACCCATGCTTAAACTTTGTCCCAACACAAGCCAATGGGAAGGCACCCAGAAATCAGGTACGAAACAAAGGAATGGACAATAACCACACCAACTCTTAACGCGTAGTCATATTCAGGAATTTTCTGCCATTGAAAAGGTCCAAGCGACTTCTTAGAAGTTCTTTGAGAGGGACATTGAGGATTTTTAGAAATTTGTGATAGCATTTTACCACTATTTACCAATATTTGGCTTTGTATGGTTAAATGTGTCTAAGAACCATTTTTGAGACACCGGTGATTTACTGCTACAACATACAATAGTCCGTTGAGCGCTAGTCTCTTCTGTTTGGTCCACAACCACTTAAATTGTTGGAGTTGTGAACTTTGAACATAATGTTTCGGCAAATGTAAATTTGTTTAAAATAATCAAGACGTTTCGTATGTGTAGTATTCAGAGTCTCACGCTTTCAAATCCTATGTCTCTCGGTAGCGAGGCTTGTATCTTAAAGCTCAAAGAGGAAGTATCTCAGTTGCATGATGTTGTAGAAAGAGCCAACAAACGCGCAAATATGAAAGTAGCGTACTCTTGGAAGTTTCCGGGAAAATCTGCCTTTGAAACAAAAGTTCTCCCCGTTTTATCTAAATGCAATTTCTCTACATCAAACAAACTTTCAAATGCAATGCTACATGTGTTTTTGCTCGAAATGATAATCGACAGGTAGCTTAGAATTTTAGATAATGAGTGGTAATCTTGCTAGATGTTTGTTAATATTTCAAATCCTGAGCCATCTATGCAAGACAGTTTGTCATCACTTATGCTCATCTTACGAAGACTCAAACTCATTAAGTTCTTGCATCAATGAACATGTTTCAGTTGTATTTTACTTGATCAGCTTGATTGGTGCTAGTAAGATTTGTTTTTCACCATTTAAGCGTTTCAGATACTAAAACAAAGGAAGCAGTGTTCCTTAAATATGATGAAGGAATCCAAGAAATGTATTATGAGACTGAAAGGTTGACGGACAGAAAGATCGCTGCAGATACCATTAAATGGATTGCCGATGTCGAACGCCATTATAAGTCCTCTTCCCAAGCACCTTCAGAGTTAACTAATAAGAATGGTGAGTTGGAAACTAGATCACAAGGAACACAAGCTACAATCTACGAAAACCAAGGCGAAAACTCTTCACAACTGTTTTCATCAGTGATTCAAGTGAGAATATGGATGAAATTCTAGTCCACTAAAGGTTTTATCAAAATGTTTAGTAAAACCAATGGACACATACAATCTGCCTTCTGAAACGGGACGCTTTATAAGTGAAGTAAAGAATTTATCAGGGTGGACTGGATGTAAAGTAGACGAGTCAAAATCTCTTTTCTTCTCTGTTGAACGAGACATTACACGTTTGATCAAATACTTGGAAACAAACAGTTCATCGATAAAAATAATGGAGGAACAATTAAATTTAGTTAAGAAAGAGAACGTTCAGCTTTCTAAAGAAATTTTAGATAAACAAGTAAGCATGTTTTACATAAATCCGACCATTTCGTTCAGCCTGATTTAAACCTCCTGAGAATTATTCAGTTGGAATACTTTTCCTATATTTGTTTACACAAACTTGCCTAACGATTGCGAGCCCAATGCGTAATATCAAAAATTGCTCTTTATATAACTGTTGTTTACCTAAATTTAAACCATACCACATGAAGAAGACAAACTAAAAAGAATGATATCGTACGTTTCAGAGAAATTTGTGACTTAGGGTTTTCGAAGTTCTCGATGTTTTAGTATACTTTCTCCAGCTCTCATTAAAAACTCCTTAAATCAGAGAAAAACTCACCGTTGTTGTATAACTGCCATAGTATGTATTCAGAAAATATTATATTATTATTCAACTGGAAAATATCTTTATTAAAATTCCGTTAATTTATTGCTTTAAAATTGTATGCAAGTCTGGTTGCACAGATTTGAACTGTCAATGATGGCCAAAGATTTTAGAGCCGTGAAATGACACTTAGAAGTATGAGATATATTAGTCTGTTAATACAAAGTTAATGATTTTCTATGTTGTTAATAGTATGTGAAATACCGATTGTATATCAGTATATTACTCATATATTTTTATGTTGAACAACTAATTGGGTCAACTGCCTACCTTCACAACTACGGACTCTATATCAAATATATTCTAATTGTTTTTCTTTTTCAGAAGAAAATTTCTTTTATAAAAAATAATGATAAGTAATTCACGTGTTTTGAAGTTCTAACTTATAGTCTTGGGTTTACCTACGATAGACCAAGACCCATTCATTAATTTTAAATCTTCATTTATCTCATCTTGAGCTCTGAAGTCTAGAAATGTGTTCAAGAACCTTTAAAACCAAAGTTACCGTCTAATTATGATCTGAGGGTAATAGATTTTGCTTTATTATTCGGACCGTAAACTGATCACAGATCTCACAACAAACTGGATTCAAAGCGTAAAGGAATGAATTAAAGAATTACGGTCATCAGTATTTTAAACATTGTTTGAGAAAATCAAATTAATGCTTAGCCATATTATTCTATTAATCCACCTTTATCCAAGTTAGAAAGCGTAGGCTAGACTGATGGCCTCAGTTTTAGAGTTGGTGCAATAATGTTTCACAACAATCGCTCATACTTGATATCCTCTATTTGAGCAAGAAAATCTCAGCCTAAATAATAAAAAAATCTACAAATTAAGAGTAAATAGCCAGTTTTTTCATGCCTACTCAATCACAATTTACCTCAATCTCCAAGGCTTACTGCAGTATGATTCTGTTCAAAGAAAGATATGAGTGGCTGGATCAATACACTGCATTAGCTGTTGGTTTCACCGACAATAGAAATCGGGAACTTTTGGACTGAGGTCATCCTGGTAATTCTAACCAATTACCGGGGACCCATGTTTTTTGTTTTAAAATTAGTTGAAGTAGCGCCGGCGCATTCGTACATTTCTCACTCTCTAGATCTTGACATTCGGTATTATTTGGTTTATCTTGTTCTTCTTTCTAGTTCTTTCTCGAACTGCATTCCTAAGATTCCGGTATCAGTTTTACTCTGTTTAAAATTGAAAATCTTTAAATACAAAAACCAACCTTCTTTAAGATTTTTTCAGTGCTATCCATCCTTCTACCTATTAAATAGTCTATATGAAGTTCGTGTATTTGTATTACAAGAATTTACATATTTTGCTTACCAAAATTATTCATTTTATCACTATCCCATTTTTAAATTGCCAGTATGAGTTCAAAACGGCTCACGAAGATTTATCTAAAGAAATAAGAAATTTAAGTAAGAAGAATATTGAATTAAAGGAAGAAAACACAAATATCAAAACCAAAGTGAAGAATTTACATAACATGATAAAGATTAAAGAATCTCGGACACTCGAATTGGAAAATCAATGTGAAGTAATCGAAAACAACATAGGTAATTTTTGGATCAGATATTACAAAAAATTTAAAACGATTCCATATGTAGTGCATTCCATGTGTAACAACCATAACTTCAATAGTACGACTTTTTTGTCTAAATATCTACAACCACATAAAAATGCTAGGTAAATCTGGGTTCTAGCTTATACATATCACTAACACCTGTAACCCCTTGCAGATGAGCATAGGCCGCCCACAAGCATTTTACACCCAACTCTGTCCTGGGCCCTCATTCTAGCTGTTTCCAGTTGCTATTCATCCTTTTCATATATGCTTCCAATTCCCGACTCACAGTGTTCGCTGGACTTCCAATTTTCTGCTTCCCATATGGTCTCCAAGTCAGCGCTTGCTTCGTGATGCAGTTTGATTATTTCCGTGATATATGTCCTATCCACTTGCAGCGTCGTTTCCTAATTTCATATTCCATTGGAAGCTAGTTTGTCTTCTGCCATAGTAGCTTGTTGCAAACAGTATTCAGCTGACGGATCTAGAGTATCTTGTGTAGACAGCTGTTTGTAAATACCAGTACTTTTTTAACGATGATTATGGTGGTCCCCCAGGTTTCAACACCGTACAGTAGGACTATCTTAATGTTTGCACTGGAAATTTCAACTTTGATGTTGGCTGGCAGTCCGTTTGAGTTCCATATGTTCCTCAATTGTAGAAGTGCTGCTCTTACTTTGTCAATCTGTGCCTTTACATCTGCATCAGATTCTGCTTCTTTATCGATTATTGTGCTCAGGTACGTGAAAGATTCCACATCTTCCAGAGCTTCTCCATCAAGTGTGATTACGCTGGTGTTCTGTGTTGTATTTGATGATCTTGCTTTTTCCTTTGTGTATGTTGAGACCTAATGATGCTTCCCGTCTGATGTCAAGGTCTTCATATTCCAGTCAATCACTAGAAGAAGGAGGAAGAGGGAGAGTACTCAGCCTGGTCTGACTGCAGTCCTCATTTTGAATGCATCTGTCAGCTGTCCTCCATGCACGACTTTGCATTGTAGTCCGTCGTATGAAGTTTGGATAATATTGACGATTTTCTCAGGCACTCCATAGTGTTGAAGAAGTTTCCATAATGTCCTCTTACCCACACTGTCAAACGCCTTCTCATAGTCGAAGAAGTTGATTTACAGTGACGAATCACATTTAATTGATTGCACAATAATGATCTGTAGTGTCATGATTTTGTCTGTGCCCGAGAGATCCTTACGGAATCCGTTTTGTTGATCTCGAAGTTGGGTGTCTACTGAGTCTTTCATCCAGTTCAGCAACAATCTGTTGAAAACCTTTCCTGGTACTGACAGTAGTGTGATGCCTCTGTAGTTCCCACACTTGCTCAGATCTCCTTACTTTGGTTTCTTGGTGGAGTGTCCTTCTTTCCAGTCCATCGGCACTTATTCTTCCTTCTAAATCTTCCTGAACAGAGTGTGGAGCATGTTTGTAGTTACTTCTATGTGTGACTTCAGTGCCTCAGGTGGTATATTGTCATGTTCTGCTGCTTTCGCACTCTTGATTTGTCTAATGGCCATCCTGACCTCTTCAATCGTCGGTAGAGTTACATCTATGGGGAGGTCTGTGCGTGCACCTTCGATTCCCGTTGTATTCAGTGGAGCTGGTCTATTCAAGAGTTCCTTAAAGTGTTCTGCCCATTTGTCCTTCTGTTCTTGAATATCAGTGATCGGCCTGCCTCCTTTGTCCTTAACCGGTCTTTGTGGTCTACTATATTTCCCTGCCAGTTTCTTCGTCGTGTCATATAGTTTTTTTTCATGGTTCCTTCTCTTGAAGCTTTTCCGCTGTCGTTGCTAGCTCTTCCACGTGTTTCTGCTTGTCGGCTCTCATGCTTTTCTCCACTTGCTTGTTTGCTTCAGTGTATTCAGCTTGTACCTTGATTTTCTCTGTTCTTGTTCGACTATTGTTAATTGCAGTTTTCTTGTCCTTCCTTTCTTGAATCTTGTCCAGGGTTTCGATAGAGATCCGTTTATTATGGTGATGGTTTTTGCGGCCCAGAACCTCCTAACACGTCGGAGTTAATGTTTCCTTGACCCCCTTCTGGTTGTCCTTCATAGTAGTTTCTTCTTCTGTAAGTAGATCCTGTAAGACATGGAACCTGTTGTTGAGAGCTATCTGGAATCCATTGAGTTTGTCAGTGTCTCGAAGAAGGGCTGTATCAAACATTTGTAACACTGTCTCTTCAGTGTTCTAGTGCTTCTTTAGCTCCAGTTTTATCCTGACCAAAATTGTGTGTTGATCTGAAGCTGTGTCAGCTTCTCTCTTGGTTTTCACTTCTGTCATTGACCCTCTGAATTTTTTAGTGATGCAAATATGATCGATCTGATTCTCTGTATTGTGATCCGGTGAGATCCATGTAGCCTTGTGTAAGCGTTTGTGGGGGAATATAGTTTCACCCATAACCATTTTGTTGAATGCACATAAGTTTGCAAATCTCTCTACATTTTCGTTCCTTTCTCCCAATCCATGTCGTCCCATGATATCTTCATAACCGGTGTTGTCCATTCCGACTTTGGCGTTTAGATCTCCCATCAGGATGGTCAGTTCCTTTCCTTAACACTTCTCTACAATCGACTGCAACCTCTCTCATAAAACCGATCCTTATTGCCGTCGTTACTATCATTGGTTGGTGCTTAACACTGGATAATATTCATTGTGATTCCCTCCTTCTTTGTTTTGAAGGATGCTTTGATGGTTATAGATCCACGAGATTACCATCCTATAAGTGCATTTCGTGCTTCTTTGGATAGCATCAGAGCGATTCCCTCAGTGTGAAAAGCATTTTCTTCTTCGTGACCAGAGTACAGCAGCATCTCTCCCGAATCTGTCGAGTTTGGGTCCAATGAGTTTCACTGATTCCGAGAACCTACGAGTTATATCTTCTTATTTCAGTAGCTATTTGATCGGTCCTTCCAGTATCCTACATTGTTTGGACATACCATGTACATATACTGAATGTTTTTCTGGTTTTGATAAGAGGTATCAGTTTCGTGATTTCCTAAGAATCTCGGCTTTCTTCATGAGGCATCATATTTCTTCCGCATGAAGATCCTTCAGCTCCCAGGACATAGTTTAAATGGTTTAAATTGCTTATTCTGGTTAGAGTTTCTCTAGCAAAGTTGCTTTCTACTTGATGTAGTTGTTGACTTCATGCCCAGTGTCAATCCCATTTCTAAACAATAATACTGCGACTAGTGAAATATCATTTCACGGTTCATGAAAATTGGATTTAACTTCTGAATATATTAACGTTACCCTGTGTCGTACTTTTCTTCATAATAAAACGACTAATTAAGTCTCACATCATACATGATTTGAGTTTTGTTAGAACGTTGCTGATGACTCTAAATAAGCTAACGAATTAACTTCACTTAATCTGATTTCCCGGAGTTTTTTAAAGTCCATCCGCTTTTCTATAGTACTGACTAGTGTTTATGTGATCACTTTTACCAATTGCATATTCAGGTTTTTTTAAATCGTCTATAACAACATTATTTCGATTTTGATCCTTAATTATTTTAGAAAATTTACAAAAGCTTTGTGATGTTGATACAATTCAATCAAATGAAATCAATTCACCTTCAAAACCATCATGTGTCATTGAATCTTGCTTATTGAAACTTCGACATAAACTAGAAAATACTAATGATGAATGTCATCGTATTTCAAAACTATTAGAAATGAAAGAAATGGAAAATCATAATATGAATTCACAATTATCGGTAAATTTTAAAATAAACGAAATATTGTTTATTTATTTGGGCGCCGAGTTGATGTGAGACATTAAAGAGGAAGAATATGTATTTGTAAAATCTTAGCGAATGAATTCGAAGTAAATTCAACGTTTCACCTGACAATCTGATCCAAACGTTTTCAAAGAAATATAGTTGAACATCAAAATTATCGAATATAAATAGGTACATGGTTCTTCGGTTCACTGTATACTGAATAGGTCATCCAATCAACGTTAACAATGTTTAAATTAGTTATTTGCATTATTGTTTTAGAGACATGTAGTGTGAAACGAAAAGTGTCAAGATAACATATTGTGTGCATACGTTAGTGAGAAGAAGATATTTCATTCACTATATATTGTCTTGGGTCGGCGAATAGTAAGAAAATATAAAAATTTATATATGATATGAATCAAAAATGTTAAAGCATGCATCAAATGAGGATAAATAAACAAGATAAAGGAATGATTTCAAAGAGGAAGAATGTATTTGTAATTGAAAGTTTGTGTTATTTTTAAAGTTCCAGTCAATTGTTTAACATATTCAGATAAGCTACCTGACTAGAACGATTGAATGTGATTTCTGTTAAGGAGTTCATGTTTACTTATTAATTATTAGTTGTCAATTTTATTCCATCTCCTATTAATACAGTTAGGATTAACCCATATATGTAGGGCTTCGGCTGTTAGTCTCCCTATATAAAAATTAAAGCCTTTTTGAAGGATTCTTGTGCCATTAAAATCGATTGTGTGACACGATTCTATCGAGTGTAATACTATTGCTGATTTGTTCTCGAGTTTTCTTACATCAACTGAAGATTTAGGAATGTACTTTAAGCATAATTTGTGTTCTTTCACCCTCACATTCAGTTGCCTTGATGATGCAAATACCTAATTTAAACATTGTTAACGTTGATTGGGTGACCTATTCAGTATACAGTGAACCGAAGAACCATGTACCTATTTATATTCGATAATTTTGATGTTCAACTATATTTCTTTGAAAACGTTTGGATCAGATTGTCAGGTGAAACGTTGGATTTACTTCGAATTCATTCGCTAAGATTTTACAAATACATATTCTTCCTCTTTAACGAACTACTTCACAAATTTCAATTCCTTTTGGTTGTATATATTAATTAACACTCAGTGGTCAAACAAGATTAATTTAATTAAGCAACAACTATAGCACGTATTTCAAATTCTATAAATGCTTAGTTATTTGAATAATCATAATCAATCAGTATGAAAAAATTCCATTAGACAATGAATTAAGCTTTCAATAATCATTCATATGAAGTAGTTTATTCAACTGATACTGATATTTGATGAAAACAACGTTTAAAATAGTTCTTAAGTTTTAGTTGATTCTGAAAGAAATTTTATTAGTCAGCATACACTGTATTCATAATCTTGTTTAATTACCAAGCAGCATCGAAGTGAACATGTATACTTGTTATGAACTAGTTCATCAATTTCGATTTACGACTATCGAACTTCAATAATCTATGTAAGGAATAATGAAGATAACTACACTTTGCAACGTACTCTATGAAGTATTATCTCAATAAATTTTAATCTGAAGTAAACAGTCATCTCTCATATTATTACATGTATTTGAAAACTCTGAAAGTATTTTCCATTCAATCAGCATTCAACATAAATTGTTCCATGTTTATGAAATTTGTAACGTTAGAATTACAGAAGTCTGTCTTTCTTAACGTTTCCTTATCATAAAATTAAATCACAATGCACTTGATAAAAAGATTAGACGAGTAAGTCAGTTTACGGTGAAGTTTCTTTCTTTCAACTAATTGGTTTAATCGATTGAACCATTCAGATCAGAGAATGGAACTTTACTAATATCATATACATGATCTATGAATAGTCTCTAATGTCTCGTTTACATAGATTTCATCGTTATACTTCAATGTTTTTTCTTTTCTTCTTAGTTGCTTACTACAAAACATGAAAAACTTTCAACAAGAATAAATCAATTAACTAGTAATAATGAACAATTAGAAGAAGAAATTGTAAAAAAGAATAATTCAATTGGATATTTAACTTCTCAATTAACTAATTCTAATCAAAAAATATCCGAATTAGAAGGTTCCTTACATGACATCCAAGTAAGATAACTTGTATCATTATTTCTTACATTTATTTCTGTGTTAATAAGACCAAGTTAATAGAAAGTGAAGAAATTCAAAAATCAACTAAATTGAATCTTGAACAAGTTAAATTAGAAAATAATGAATTACATGAAAAATTGAATAAATTAAATGAATATCTTTTGAATATGGCTCAATATCCAGATTTAAATGGACCAATCATATTTGAGAATGAAAATAGTAAGTTTTATATTTTATAATTATGATCAAGTTCAAACAATAATTCTATATTATAACGAAATTATTAAAGAAAAACGATAGAAGTGAACAATATATGATTGATTCATGCCGTCTCAGTGGTCTAGATGTTAAGCGTTAGTGTGCAAGATCAATATGTCCTGGGTTTGAATCTTGCGTGACGGGGTTGTGGATGCGTACAGCTGAGGAGTCCCACAATAGAATGAAATGGCCGTCCAGTGCTCCAAGGTTTTCCATGGTGGTCTAGTTTCAATATACTTATGATCTCAACTATTAAAATATTAGATTTGCCTGAACTTTTTATTTAGCAGAATTAAATGAGCACATAAATTTTATGTGAATGATCCTCTTATCGAATTCAAGCAAAACAATAATAATGATATTTACGCAATAGGATGAATTCATTGTATTTCGTTGTTTAAGTCTCACAGTAAAAAAGCTTCGTTAATTCCTAATTCCAAATAAACTTGGAAATTAAGAGAGCGGAATGGTTGTTAGTTAGCAGACTCATTCGACTTGGAAATAAATACATTCCAGGTTCGAATCTCACTTCATTTCTTTCAGTACAGAAAGTTTCATGGTATCACTGCGTCTGACACAAACAGTATGACTGAAGATTATCAATATAAACCCCTGAATGAAATATAAGCCGGGTTCCAGAGACCAAGAAATTATATTAACCCTCCTCCCCAAAGAACTGTAGGTTGTTTTAAATGTACATGTAATACAGGTCATTTAGGTTTGAGAGAATTCTCATTGACAAGTGATATGATAGTTTTGAGATATTAGTAATAATTTCATTAAGTAACATGAAAACAAATATTTCATGAAAGACAGTGATAAAACGTTTGTAATGAATTCACGCGATTCGAATCGCAATTAAAATAAAGAACAACGTATATAGACGAACAATATTGTTTTCGATTAGATCCTCATCAAGCTTTACTCGAATATTTATGAATATCTAGTTGCAGATATCAAATTATTAAACCAATCAAAACAGTTTATTAGTCAATGATAACAGTGGAATAGATTACATAAATAAACATAATAAGTGAAAAGTATAAATTGGTAGTTACGGTTATGCCACTTGTATGTGTATCCACGAATTCAGCTGCTCCTGTGGAGAAAGCTATATTGGGTGCACTATCAGATAAATGAGGCAAAGAGTTAGTAAACATCTCCATTTATGGTTAGGAAAAAGTACTGTCAAGAAAATACGCAGCGCGGTTTTATCACCGTTGATCGATAGTGGTCATGTAGTAGACAGAAATATGTCATTTAAAGAGACATCCTATCCCCACCAGTTTTCCTTATAATGTTTGATCCCGTTTCTTAGATATTGCAGAAGCCATAGGGATTCGAGCTAACGATCCAAGTTCCTGTATTCATAATAAATTTTCAATACCCTTGTCTCTTCTTTGACCGAATCAGATCTAATAAATGACTTTATTCGTTTATTATTATTTTCCACACTCTTTGTTCGTTGATTTTTCTCCAACCCTTTTTTCTCGAATACACACTTCACTATCCAATTATCTGAACATCCCCTAATGCATAATCTTATGATGTTTAATGAATATTATTTCAGTGTTTATTTTTCAAGTCATCGACCTACTTCCTGTTATGAAACATTGATTCAAGCCTATATTATTTTTTACCACAACTAGTACACCTGACATCACACTATCAATTTCTTTAATTTTTACTTATTATGCTTATTAATGTAATCTATTCCACTGTTATCATTGCCTCATAAACTGCATTGATCAGTTTAATAATTTCAGATCTGCATCTAGATATTCATATATATTCGAGTAAAGCCTGATGAGGATCTAATCGAAAACACTATTGTTCACTTATATATGTTGTCCTAACCAGGATGTTGAATAATGTTAGCTTTTTAATTCATGAATAAGTAGCCATCCTGTCAAAAAAAGTAATGATAAGTCAATAAAATCATGTGGTTCAAAGAAATCGGAATAAACAATTAGATTCACTTTAAATAAATAAGACACTTAAAATAAATGAATTTTCACTAAAAATAATCTTAAAAATAATCATAGACCGGATCGTAATTTCACTGATAGAGCACACTGAAACTGTAAATATTTCAGTAAAATCAAATACTACTGACTACCTTGAGTGACTTATCAAATAGTTAAAAAATAATGCTTAATTATAAAGAAGTGTGGGTATTACATGTTGGGCTAGGGTTATGTTCAGTGTTAGTGTTAAGAGTTTTGGAGATAAGATTTATGGTAAGTTAAAGAGTCAATTTTAAGATATGTAGTTGGAGTGATAGATTACTTTTTTATTCACAAAACGCCATTGACTACACCCTGAACTTCATCAAATATGTCAGATATAATCTGCGTGAGGAGTTGGTATTTATTAAAGTTTAGCTTACACATCATGTCACATTTACTAACAGGCTATCCAGAAGATATTTTCATGTATTTTAATCATTGTATAAACTAGATATATAGTTTTTACCTGGATTTTATTGAACTACATTCGGGTTTTTTTATTACTTTCTGATATTAGTTCAAAAATTTAAAGGGTCCAATCTTAAATCTGATTGTTCTACACGAGGTAATCAGTATAGTTTAGATTTGAAGATATTTCATGAAATTTTTTATCTTCTAATTACAAAACTGATTTATCATTTATTTTGGGGTTTTTTTGTTGTTGTTGAAAATAAATTTAACTTTGAAGATGAAAAAAGTGTTGATGAAGAATTGAAAGGACAAATACGAGCAAATGAACTTAGAATTACTCTTTTAATGGAACAAACTAAACGATTACGTAATGCATTATTAGTGATAAATGATAAAAAACAAAGTATGAATGGTAACAATAATAATCATAATAATGAAATTCAATTAATGAACGAAACTACTGAATTAATGTGAGTAGTTAAAAAAAAATTTAATTGATATACCAATATATTGAACTCTTAAATTCGTTTGATAGAAAGTTTATTTTATAGATTGAAATAAATTAAAATATACATTGAGAACTTAAAAAACTTTAAACATTAAGGAACAATGAAGGCTTATTCAGAAAGTTTAAAGTAAAAGTTTTGACTAAAGTTGAACTGCATTTGAATCAAAAGATGATATGTTCAAGTCTCAGTGTGAACATCAATACTGACACCAACTGATTAGTCCCTAACAGGATGAAAAGAGTATTCTGGATAAAACTGCTAAGGACTAATTGAAACTTGTAATTTAAATGACTATATCATGGTAATCCGCTCAAGGTGTACATATTCCAAACTTGACTGATCTTTTGTAGCCTTTAACCATCAACAATGGGATATACAAACCCTTACAAATAAATTTTCAAATGTAAATTTTAAGACGGTTTTACGACTTGCAGAAAATTTCATATGCTTTTTCAACTATCAGCTCTAGCATAGAAGTGTGCTAATTCTATCAATGTGTCCAGCTACATGACTGAAATACGTGTGAGGTCGAAATTAAAAAAAACAAAGATTTGTCTAAAGAACAGTTCTGTTATTTATAAATGTACATAAATTAGTTACAAGCCTCAATTTGTGAGGTATCTGTGGCGATTAACGTGCCTGTATGTCTGCAGATAGAAAGTCTACCTCTTATAATAACACAAATGGTAATTTCAACATACGGTAGTGTGAATGAAATCTGATAACTGTGTCTAATGTTAACAGCATTTTATCAATGACCAAAATGAGAATTAAGGTCACACAAATATGTAAGCCGGTGCATTTAAACGAGGATTCAAAGGATGTTCAAAACTGGAAATAATTATTACAAGGGTTGAGAGAGTAATTATCACAATAAATTCAGTAAATGTTACTGAGATGGTGGAGAAGATTTATAGCTCAGGTGGATGATTTTGGTGGAGTTTTGTTCTCTGAGCAAGATGGTTTGGTTGTGGATCTTTCATCGTTCTTCTGAACGACATCATCAGCACAAACTTCAAATAGAAGTGAAGTGTTCACTACAATCAATCCTATGCAAACCAAAAGATGAAATAACAAAGGAAAACAAATCAGACATCATCTACAAAATAAATTGTGCCAACTGCGAAAAACACTACATCGGACAAAGCGGACGCCCCCTTCACCTGCGCCTACATGAACATCAATTAGCAGTCAAACGGCATGATATCTTCTGACTTATATCAATACACGTGGACAACTGCGGACACTCATTCGATTGGAAAAATGTAGAAATTTTAGACAAAGGAAACTCCAAAAACACCAGAGAATTTTTAGAAGCCTGGCACTCAGGTCAATCAGCACTCAACAAGCACATTGAAATCGATCCAATTTATCAACCAATCAGAAAAATGATGCACAAACATAAGAACAAAAATCAAAACAATGGGAGACACAACCAAAACGAAGAAGTAAACAATGACAAATTTAAGGTCAATAAGAACCAATCAACATCGAGGTGCACGGAACAAGCTTTGAAACACATGTGGAGAAATTCAAACACTTCACTTCTATTTGAAGTTTGTGCTGATGATGTCGTTCAGAAGAACGATGAAAGCTCCACGACCAAACCATCCAGCTCAGAGAACAAAACTTTACCAAACTCAGTAAATGTTATTGGTTCACGTGAATACTTTATGATATTGCACAGTAAATGAACGAGCATTATTCTATACTTTCAGAATTATTAGACATGGAATTGTTTACTGAATATCAACAAGTAATTTAAGACAACACGCAAAAAATGAGTTAACTGAGAAAACAATAAGGACAGAAAAATGAGAACGAACTTCAGAAGAGTCAACGTTAAGTTCGATAAACTGACTTTATACTTAGATATGAAGCCAGTTTATGATTAAATAAACAATAACGAAATGGGATACCTATCATAGATTAGTGTAAAGATAGATAGTGGCTATCTACGGAATCCAGGACGCTCGTTTCGTCATATTTGGGACTCATCAGCTGGATGTACCTGCATCTCAGAGTTGATGTTCATCCTTGGACTCTAACCCAGTACCGTTCGCTTCATTTGCTTGTAATGCTTGTGAATTAAGGCAATATCGAGTCCATACGCACAGTATGGACATATGCCAATAAGCGACTGATCAATTGCAGTAATTAATGGGAAGATTCAAGTAAACAATGCCAGGTGACTTTTAACTTCAGCCCATTGCACAAGCAAGTGGCTATCAGAACTCAGTAGCTAAGTGGATAGCGTGATGGCGTTGGAAGCGAACGATATTGGGCTCGAGTCTCAAAGTGGACATCAACTCTGAGATGCAAGTACATCCAGCTGACAAGTCCCGAATAAAATGAAACTCGCGTCCAGGATCTCACTGCCATCCATCTTTTCTTATAATTTCACAAGCTTTTCTATATATATATATATATATATATATATATATATATATATATATATATATATATATATATATATATATATATATATATTGCGTTGGAAACACTAATAAAAATAGCTTCTGTTAAGTGAAGTAAATGTGGCATACATTATCTGTTACTTATTTTGAAGTTTTTCATATCCACCAAGTAACTAGAGATTGAACTTAAGAGGATAGTTCTTCCTTTAAGATATACGACTAAGATCATTCACTTTAATAAACTCGTAGAAATCCTTCTCTCAATCCTATATTCTTATACTTATCTTCGTCACAACCTTAGACTATTCACAGAGGATATGAAGTTCTTAGACAAAATTAATTTATTTCGTTCAGTGAAATACGTGTAACTTGAAAGTAATCATTTCTATCAAAACTGAAATTATTTAGATAAATGTTGAAACTCAAGGATCTGTGTGTGAGTGTGAGACTCATCCGCAATCCGGGTCCTAGTCTCCATATGGTATCAATATTTGACATTCTAATTAGTAAATTAGTGTATTGTCAAATAAGTCAGAGCTTTTATAAACCTGTATAATCTTCTTAAAATGTGTATTATGAAGTTCTAGTGTCGAAGAAACTAACATTTTATTCTTTATGTACTTTTTTCTATTATGGAATCCAAGACTTACATTTCTCACCCTATTTTCATAAGAATAATAATACATTGTCCTAACTTGCTTCCTTTTTTCCAGGTCACCTAAAATTGATCATTTACTACTTACTGATGATAATGATAATGCAGCAAGTATAATTCGACTGAATTCTATCTCATCATTTGATAATATTTTATCAGATCATCAATCTATGAAAGAAGATCATAGTCGTATACGTCAAAAAACATATACAAAACCCAATATCATTTTCAGTGAAGTAAATGGGAATCATTCAAGTGTCCAATTATGGTCTGGACCAAGTACAACAAGCAAAGGTATTATATTACTTTATTACGTTATTTGATAATTTCATATACGTGGTTTTCGTCATTATTTGTATAATAAGCAACGAAAGAACTTGTGAAAGCGGCTGTACATTGAACTTTGCAAGTCATACCTTAATCTTATGCTTTCATGTTCTCACACTAGATATTTCAATTTTCTACACACACATAGAGGACTCAATTAAAGAGGAACAAAATGTAAATGAGTAAATTATCACAATTTTATGATTAACCCGTGATTAATTAAGAACAAGTCATATAAATAATCCAGGCTGTTTTTTTTTGACAAATATAGCCTTTTATTTAGAAGATTATTCATATCATATGCCTTTTATATATGTATCAGAAAGGGTTTCGTGGAGACTGTAGTAATTTTAACAGTTGAGATCATGAGTCAATTGAAGCTGAACCACTATGGAAAGCCTGGGAGCACTAGACGGCCGTTTCGTCCCATTGTGGAACTCCTTAGCAGTCGCACCCACGACCTCGTTTCGCGGGATTCGAAACCAGGACCTATCAGCCTCGCGCCAGGCGTTTAACCAACTTCCTACTTAAGTGAGAAAGCCAGGAGTGAGTAGAAAGGTTTTAAAGGCAGACTCAAATCAAAATATATCCACATTTCATTCATAAATAAATACCTGCCTTTCTCGGAAAATTAAGTCACACTTTCAACCAATAATGTGTCTGTTTCCATAGAAAGTTAAGCCAAGGCTTGATCAGTAGTGCGCGCTCATCAGCATCCCTCACTTTAAATTTCACCTTGAACTGATGTTGTGGCGGTAAATAAATCCCCAAAATAAATAGCTCTTTAAGTCTTCGACATTGTATGCTGACCACAATCGTTTTGAAAGTGCTTTCTCATGCATCGGCATCAGACCATGAGTGAGAACGTCGTGCTCAACATCTACTGCAATCGCTAGCCAGTCTAGATCAGTCGATCCTCGAAATATCGATAGACTATCAAATATATCTTCGAACCTACTCGATTCTTTCTTTTGATTTCACTTGGTGGGTATGATTCATATTGGGTGTTACTGGTTATAGAGTTGTCAAAATCCAAGTACCTGCGGCATCTTTAATATATCTAATTTGCTCAATGTGACACCTTTTCCTTCTGAAGAAACAATCTGAGCTTCGGATACAGTTTCAGGAATTGAAAAATGGGAAAACAAGCTGTTTCTTCAAAATTCCCTAAAAATTATATTGGTTTGGAATCAAACTAGTACTTCCTGTTTTTACGAAATAAACCCCATCAAAGAGACTACACAGATATTTATTTGGTTACTTAGATGAAACACGTAAAAATTTGAAGCATATAAAATTACGAGTGAGGACAATATCGATTGCTCTTGTGGAAGGTTACAAAAAAACGACTCGTTCTTCCGTTATGTTTATTCCGCGTTATGTTATTATTCAGTTTCAATAACTTCCATAAAATTACATTATATCCTTTTTATTTTATTCACCCAAAATACCTGACTTTAAATTCACTAAAATAAGGTTATAGTCATTTTGGAGACTCGACATTAATATAAATCTGTCATTACTATAAACATTTTACTTGAACTGCTTCACATCAATTAAGGGCTCTTATTATTGATATTTTTTCCTATAAAACTCTCCTAAGTCTTACTAATTTCTTTTATTGATACCATTTTTATCTTCAAAGGATCAAGTCGCCCGCAATCAAGAAAAAGGAAATAAAGTGTATGCTGAGAAAAAGCGCATCGAATTCGTTCAAAGATGTAGAATAAATACATACATATTTTTACGATTATTTGTAGGCATGTGTTCTAAACTTTAGACTTTAAAAAATATTGCAGATATTTCAGTAGTTTTAGAATAAAAGCAATTAATTTATTTGTGCTTATTCAAAACAAACTTATGCTGGCCGCATAAACTGGTGCCTATGAATTTGCGTCAATATAACCGACTCAACTTACCTATTATTAATGAAATATGTTACAGTTAACTACTACTGGAAAGCTGCTTTATAGTTGAAACTACCAAATATTTTTCATGTCTGTTTGTTACTAACATTGACTTTAGTATTCTTTCAAACTTCCTATTAAAATCATAAGCAATAAAAAAATCATCAGAATCCTTAGGAAACAGAAAACACATTACAGCTATGTTTCTGTTGAGCGATTAGATAAGAATGGTATGAGTGAACCTGTATTTCAATACATGTAAATTAAATGTCGTATTGTCAAGGAAGCTGAAAATAAATAAGAAGTGTCGATAACCTATTTCATATGTTTTCTCCAGTTGTTTTGACACAGTTTCCAATCTGTAATATTGTATATAGCTTCAAGGCACCCTTCCGTTTCATTCGTACAAACCCCCCACACACTATACACTGTGACCACTAAACAACTGGACGTGTTTGGTCTGCTCAATGAGCTTGAAACAGGTGAATCCACGAGACCCGATGAGATGTATCCGCGAAACGCTTAAGTATATGTTTTAATCTATCTGTAACCGAGGGTCGATTACCAGAAGACTTGGAGAATGCCAATGGTAAGGCCTGCCTTCAAAACAGGTACGAAATATAAACCTAAGAATTATCGAACCCTCAGCCCAACTAGCGTGGTTGTTGAAAGTTTTGAAAAGATTGTTCGGAGGGAGTTGTCTAAATATCTCAACGGAAACCTGATTCTTCCTGAAGAACATCAGGGCTATAGAACAGATTATTCCCGACTCACTAACATATTAATAGCACATTAAATTCGGTGCGCTACCAAAGATCCAAATTTATCTATAATTTTAGCACACATTGACTCCAGCAAACCTTTTGACAAAGTTCCTCCCAACCGACAGCCATATAAGTTAAGTAATATTAGGGTCGGAAGTAATTCACCAATATAGATAAACAAATAGTGGGGGTTAACTCAAAGCTATGTAGCTAGGAAATTGTGCGTAGTAGAGCATCCCAGTGTTCATTTTTGATGTCAATGTTGATCATCGCGTATGTAAAGACCTGCCTCGTTTCCGATCAACATCGACTTTGTTATATGCTATCGATGTAAAAATATGGAGTGAGATGGTATGTAAATGTGACAGTTAAGTGCTTCAAAATGACTATGAGAAATTATCTGACTGATCTTAAGTTCGGCTGTTCCCGATAGATGCTTCCAAGTGCCTCTGGTGCGTATTAATCACCAAAGTACAGATATCCACAAGGTGAATAACATTGAGCTACCTGTTATCCAGACAAAATAATTTATTTTTTATCGCTAGCAAAAAGTCAGAAACTATGGCACACTTCCGTGCGATAGCCGCCAAAGGTTTTAAAAAACATATAGTCAATAGGTAGGCCTTTAGCTATGCCGATGCTAAAACCTTTTTGTCCATGTATATGGTATACATGAGTCCGAAACCCGAGGACTGCATACAAGAAGCTAAACTCTTGATTATTAAGAGACAGTAAGCTACTAGAAAAGGTAATGGAGAAGCCCCTATATGATACTCGACTGTCCTATCTCAGCTTAATTCCACTGTCATGTAGAACCAGAGATGAGTTGATTACAGTTTCTGAACTACCTGGTAATAAATTTGGGTCTGATATGCCTTCGTTCTTCTTGCCGTCCAAGGTGGAGAATTAACGGGGACACTCAAAATAGTTCACAATCACGGGATAAATTACTATTCAACTGAATACCGACATTCCCATCTATCATCAACAAATGGAATTCATCGCCTTAAGATGTGACTTAAACTACAAATATCGACCCTCTCAAGAAAAATATCAGATTAATTGATGGACCATTTTTGACAAGACTAAGACAGACCATCTAGGCGCTTATCCTTCCCAAACTGAAACTGAAGTCTATCGGTTGTGCTTACTCTCTACGTTGATATTGGACACTAGATTGAACGTGCTAGTTGACGCAAAATTTAAACCTGAAGACTCGTTACACATGACAGCGCTGCAGGGGTATCGCAACACTTATTTGCGCTACTTTTTCATTTCTGCTTTGTGCACAGCCAAATTTCGAAATTTATTATGAATTAATTTGAAAGTCTATTTTCCGTTTTCATAATTAGGTGAAAATGGGTTTTCCTATTTTGCGTTACATGGTATCGCGAAGTCCTTGAAAATTCATTATTGAGGTGCTCTTATAATAGTTTTTTCGTGCTTGCATCGCAGATTAGCAATTATTTGTACTTAGGTATACACTGATGGTAGACAAATCTTTTATTTTTATATGAAATAGCAAGATTCAGGCATATATCGTCATAAAAATTGTACTGTCGTCAAGGCTACCAAAGCTGCGTTACAATCGACGATACCATGGTAAGATTTATCGTTTTTCCCGTCTTTATCACAATTTCTGCTGATTTTCACTGTTTTGTTCGACTTTCATGGCAGAAATAGCTTTGTAGTGAAAACATTAGAAGTATCGAGTGTTGTAAATATTATGTATATGCTATAGATGATGATAACACATTCCAAGATGTTAATATCACCTCCTACAGTTCGATATATTAGCCACCAAATTATTATATTGCAGGAAATAAGTCATAATCATGCGGAAGAGGTATAATTATGTGACGGTTTTACCAGAGACCAAGCTAAGATAGCATTACTACCTCTTGTGTAGATCTACAATGTTTTAGCTGCCGGTATTATTGCAAAAATACCTAATAGCATAAATAAGTACTGATATAAAGCTGTCACGAGAAAGCACTGAAAATTACGATTTGGTAGTTAAGATATCTTGATCTAAGGTGACCAGATTGTGTGAGATCCTATGTGATGATCTTTGGAAATCAACCAAAGCCTGTCTAGGTTACGTGCTGATGCCGTAAATGACAATTACTCATAACTTACGTCGGAATAAAATAAAATAAGCATCGATAATTGCAGGTTACACAGTATGATTCAAAGTAAATTCACACAGTAGTTTTTATATCTGTTCATCGTCTAATTTTCCGAAGTGCAATTTGTCAAAGAATTAAATATTACAATCCGTGTATGTTGTGACCGAGACTTTCCTAAGCATCGCAAGAGATAAAGGAAATAAACGTGATTGACTATCCAAAGGAAGGGTGTGCTAATAGCACTTTCGATATGTAATTGAATACTGGTTTCCGTTTTTTTTACTAGTTTCTGGTAAACATTTATACTGAAGTAACTTTCCTTTTTATCTTATTTCCAGCTAGCTTCGCAAGTGCTCACAGACCTAACGGGAACAATTCCTAAGAAACAGAAGTTATTTATTAATCGATCATTTGTGCTAGATTCAAACTTTAATAAACGTTTTCATTTATAACGCACCAGTCTTTTAATTACGGCAATTCTTATCTATCGTGACAGGTCGAAATTCGAACTACTAGTGTGGTACACCATTTTCAAGGTAACAGTATTTGGTAAACGATATGTGTGACTAATCGCGTGTGCGCCAAACTGGTAATTATTACACAAGAACGCGAAACATCCCTATCCCACAGCCACATAAGACTGAACAGTACACTCCCTGCCGTTATGCTATAAGAATAAGTCAATGGCCATAAAAATGAATTTATGTAATGCATCCTTAGATGTTCGTACTTTCGAGTAAATCTGAATATAATGCGTTATGAAAAGCGAAGTTCACATATCAGACCGTCTTGTCTTCACAAGGTGTTCCAAGCATTTTCGCACATCAGGATTTCGGAACTACAGAAAACAATTTGTACAGCTAACACACACTTTCCTGAAAAACACTCTCAGGACATGGAATGAACAAAGTATTGTGTTAGAATGACTGTGCGTAGACTGCACAGCTGAAATTTCGGTCGCTGCCGAACCCATAATTAAAGTGCGTGTACCATAAGTACCGCACATCATCTCTTTAAAACATTCCAATAGTTTTTCGACATCTTCGCGTCGTTCTTGACTGCGAAGAGCTTATATAACAGTGTGCCCTTGCCCAAGACTATCAGTCACCACTAGCTGGAACAGTGGAAAGTCAGTCAAATACAGTGGAAAACTTTCAGATAAATTTATCACTAATCTTTACTTACCCGACTTTATTGGTTTGATAAGTCGAATCAATACATATTACCTCCGAGAACGCGTGGTAAACAGCTATTTGCTCTCTGCGGCTGAAGCAAATCATAGACATGTTCCCATTTTCATTGAATACTTTAACTTCAGTATTTGCTTGAACGCGCTGTAAAATGTCATTGATATTTTTAGTGTCTAAACTCAATTACAATGTGAGTTCAACAACCTGGATACAACTGTGAACGCATTCTGGCGATATCGTCCTTGGTAAGCTGTTTATTGAACTTCCAAGAAATCAGATACCGTAAGCTATGTGTCGGTGTATTACTCAGTAGAAACGTTTTTAAACACAAGCGTTCACTTGAGGTCAACTGTCGTTTCGACGGATCGACAGAAATATATCCTTCTGTGCAAGGATGGTTGTGCACGGTTTTAATAGAGGTGAGTTTCAACTCACCATTTACTGCTCGGACCCAAAATCCAGATTGACAATGGCAATATTTCGACCTAAAGGATTGATTCATTTGAAGTAAGGCATACGTAGATGACCGACGTCGTCTCCTTTGCCTAGGTTGTGTTGGCGAGTTAGAAGTTGAATGCTCTTCAGAAGAATGATTATTACTATCATCATCTACATCCTGAACGCAAGCATCTGACTCTGACGAACTGCGTTTACGTCCATATGTACAGGCATATCTCACGAAAAAGTACT